GGGGAGCTCCTTTGACTCAAGTTCTGCCCAGGTCAATGCCCCCTAATTAAGATGTCAATCATAAACTGGCGTCTTTTGTCGGTTCGTTTCGTGGTGGTTGTAACAAAAGCTACTGTGTAGTATGTCAACAGCTGACAGGTAAGTTATCTAATGAACGACTAATTTTCGCGTGATTCTGTTGCGAGGAAGTTAGTTTCTCCTGGGTGACCATCCGATCATCCAATAAAATTAACGAAGGTTGCCTCTAACCAAAAAGGGAAGTGATTGAATTAGTTACAACCTGACCAGAGGTAACGCTCCAGGCCATCGTTGTCTGTTACAAATTCTTCGGGCCCCGGTGCTGGAGATCCATAAACGACACGTTAGGGCGGAAAGTTTAGCTTTTGCGTCCTGATGATCCTCTGTGGCTCGTAACTAGTACAAAGTGCTAATACATGGTCCACAGTTGTAGTCGTAAGGTACAAGCTATAGGATACTCATGTCTTATTTTATAACTTTTACCTTAGGGCCCTTAGGCTGTTAGAACATTGCAATTACATAATTTTATTATTTTATTTTTTTGTAATAATATTTGTATCCTAGTTTTTGCCTATTCACTAACTAAATCTTAACCTCTGCAATGATATTTCTTGTGAGCACCGGAAAACAACTTTTAGTTACATTTTCCGTGCTTACAAAGAACATATTATTTAGGAACCACGCCCATATTTATTTATTTATTTATACATTATAATATACCCTTTGGTATTAATTGTACAGTAAGTATAACGTATCAATGTGATAAATAGAATAGTTAACAATAATTAAAATGATAATAATAATAATATAATATGAATACAATAATAAAATAATATAGTGATAACAGTAATTAATCATTAAATAATATATGACATGAATTAATTTAATAACATTTAATATTTTACAAATTGGCTAACAGTTAAAAATAGATTTAAACTTAATAAATATTTATCTTAATAATGAAACAAGTATGTATTTAATTTAGTATTTGATTTAAACTTAAGTATACATTTTGTTTAAAAAAATCACGAGTCATAAAGAAGAAATCTATGTGGTCGACTATAAGATTACATAATGAGAGAGCTCTAGGGAAAAAAGATGCGGAACTGTAGTTGTTTTTATAAAAAGGTACATGAAATAAATTCGATTTTCTTAAATAGCGATTTGGTGTTTTAAAACCAATCATAGATAGCAATTCCGGTGAATCAATAAGACCATTCAGTAAATCATATAAGAACATAATATCAGCAATATTTCTTCTTAGTTCGCAACTTGAAAATCCGAAAACCGAGTTTTGCAAATTGGTTATAATAAGTATATTCAATTTATAACACATACGTTTTAAACATTTATACTGAACATTTTCAATCGCCTCTTTATATGAAGAATAACTTGGAGACCAGATTAAAGAACCAAACTCAAGGTGAGATCTAACAAGATAAAAGAACAATGTTTTAAATGTATAAACATTTTTAAAACTATTCGTACTTCTATTAATGAACCCTAACATTTTGAAAGCTTTTTTAATCAAGGCATTTATATGTATTGAAAAAGACATATTGCTTTCGATAACAATTCCTAGGTCTCTAATATAATTGACACGCGTAATAACACAGTTATTAATATTATAATTATAAGTTATTACGTTATCTAACCGTGAAAAAGTAATAACACTACATTTAGTTATATTTAAGGGTAGGCGATTATGATGACTCCAAATTGCAAACCTATCCAAATTCGATTGAAATTTTAAAGTATCGTCAGGAGATCTAATTATTGAGAATATCTTTGCATCATCAGCAAATAAAAGAACTTCAACTGAGCTATCAAATATGGAAGGTGGATCATTTATAAATAATATAAATAAGATGGGGCCCAAGTGTGAACCTTGGGGCACACCAGAACTAACTAAAAAGTCGTTTGAAACATTAAAAGACACTTTAACTGCTTGAGTACGAGAGCTAATATAGGATTTTATCCAATCTAAAAAACTACCATGGATGCCGAATGATACTAATTTATTTAGAAGAAGGCTGTGGTTAACTTTATCAAATGCCTTTTGGAAATCAGTATAAATTGAATCTAATTGGGCATGGTCATTAAAGGAATCAAGTATCTTGGACTGAAAAAGTAATATATTAGTTAAAATCGACATTTTAGGTCTAAATCCATGTTGATTTTTACATATGTACGGAGACATTACTTTGGTTAATTTTTTAGTTATAATTGCTTCAAATATTTTAGGTATATGTGATAATTTAGAAATCGGTCTATAATTTGAAACATTATGTTTATTCCCTGACTTAAGTATTGGTGTGATAAAAGATTTTTTCCAAATATTAGGAAAATAACCTAAACTTAAAGATCTATTAAAAAGTAAATGTAATGGCTTAATTAATACAAAACTACACAGTTTTAGAAATATTGATGGTACACCATCCGGTTCCGTACTCGCATACATATCTAAGTTATTTAAAAATCAAGAATTTCATTTTGATGAATAGTCCATGAGCTTAAATTAACATTTATATTGTTCATTAAAGGCACATTTGAATTTGAATTTATTTGGGACTCTTCGTTAAAATTTATTGAATCAGTAACATAAACACTAGAAAAATAGTTTGCATATAATTGAACAGTTTCAGAGATATTCGAAGATGAGTGATTATTATAATTAACACAATCTGGTTCAACATTGTTAGTTTTCTTCAGTGAGTTAATATATTTCCAGAAAGGTTTAATACTTGTTTGGATGCTGTTTTCTAAATTTGTAATATATTGTGTGTGGCGAAAAGATATTAACTGTTTGTATTTCTTACGAAGGTTAGAGAATATAAGATAGTCTTGATGGGAATGACTTAGTTTAAATTTTTTATGAGCACATTTCTTATCAATAATGAGTTTTCTGAGCTCAGCATCTGCCCAAACAGGAGAAAAATTACTAAATATTTTTGTTTTTGGTACAAGTAAAGAAAATGTATGATAAATTATTTCATAAAACTTACTTATTTGAACCTCAAAAGATAAAGTATTATCTAGATTAAGATCAAAATCGATGTTAGATAGAAAAAGAGAGATTTCATTAAAATTACAATTTTTAAAATTATATACGAGTGGAAATTCATAAGAACTATGTAATGAGGAATCAGTGAATTTTAAATATAACTCTAATTGAATGATCAATTATTGGTACAAGAGATTCAGAGGAATGGAGAATAGAAGTAAGTTCTATATCAGAGCTAAGAAATATACAATCAAGAGTACGACCTAAAGAGTTTTTAATACAATTACATTGTTTTAAATTTAAAAGATTTACAAAAGAATTAAACAATATATTTCCAAAAACATTACCTTGAATACTTGATTTAATAGACCAATTGAAGCTGTTTAAATTAAAGTCACCAGATATTATAAAATGGTAATCAAGATTATTAAAGAATATAGACTCTATTACATCACAATGTTTAGAATACATTTCTAATGTAGCATCAGGTGGTATATGCACACAGCCTAAAACTATTTTTATTTTTTTGATGGTGAATTTTAGAAATATTTGTTCAATTCCAGTTACAAAAGGAACATGTAATAATTCACAAAATATTTTTTTATTTACTGCAATTAATACACCACCTTCGCGCAGTTTACCGTAGGACAAATTACGATCATCTCTGTATAAATTATAGTTATTGAAACCTAGTTCTGCATCAAAAACATTATTATTTAACCATGTTTCATTTAAACAAACTATATCATAATTCACATTTAATAAGGCAATACGTAAAAAATTTATCTTTGTTAAAAGACCACGGACATTTTGAAAAAAAATATTAATTATAAAAAATTTTCATCTCGGGAATTTGCTAAACGATTATTTTTCGTGACAATTATCGGTGTTCCTCTCACGTATTTAGTTTCCCCGTTTGTTTTACGAGTCTCCAATTCACAACGAACCATATACTTTGTATAAGTATGGACGTATAGACCATTTGTTTTTAGACATGATTTTACTTCATTATTGAACAGAACGATAGAGTTGATCACTACTATATCGACTTATTGGGGTCAGTTAACTTGCCTCAGCCAAGTTAATAGACTTTATTAAAGTGACTATTTATTGATTATAAATTTATTAGGAGTTGTTTCATTATCTAATTTTATTTATACATATATATATAATTTTATATTTTACTACTTAGTTCCAAGCAAGTCATGACACCAGTTCCTTTTTAGACACCGCTTGGAGTTACCAGATAAGGAATGTGTGAACAGGTTTCTAATGAATGAGTTTTAGTGTATTTTGAAACGGGTATGAAAGTTAAAAGATAGATAAAATTATTATGTTAAAATCACAGACCAAGATAATACCTTATTATTATATTATATAATCTAATTATGCATTAGTTCAAGGTTAAAATACTTAAATACTATCTTATTAATTAACATTTCAGTTTAATTTGTAAACATTCGCCTATTATATAACAAATAGGAGACATTATTTTATACGAATTGGCCATAGAATTCGGCTATATATTATTTTTGTATAACTATGTTATAGTCTAATATTGTAGTTGTATAGTAATTAAATATACTAGATACTTGATACTTTAATACTTAAAATTTAAAAATAGTATTAGACTCGCGTAATTGGGCCAATGTTATTATTTAGATTTTAAATTAATTTACCTATACGATATAATTAATATGAAATGTTACATTAAGTTTAAATATATGTCCATTTCGCGAATTTAAGGTTGACGTGATATTATCGTAGTTTGTAAAATAAATTTAAAATAAAACCAATTTCATGAAAAATAAGATTTCATAAAGTAGATGCGACATAAATGTAATTTTTGCAATTTTTGTGTTTTGGTAAATAAAATAAATAATGTAACGATAAACTTATATAAAACATACAATTTTTATTTTTGATAATGCATAGTATTATGATAAAATCATGTTTATCATTTTTTGCTTTTTTTTGATCCTTTTTTTGATTTCTTTTTTGATTTTTTTCTTAATCCCTTTTTGGACCCCTTTTTTCCACCGGTGGTCACCAAAGTTATGTCTTCGTTTATAAACTGCGTTTCGGCATCTATGCGCTTTAAAGCTGTCGGTGGATTAGGTAGACGCATTTCAACCTGCAAGCAGGCTACATCGGTAGGATTATCGTATGCCTTGGACAGCCGTAATACAAACACGTGCTCTTTATCATTTATCGGTCTCCCGGTGACTGGACCGACCGCTGGGTTATTGATAGACACCGGTACTGTGGGCAAAATTTGCATTGATCTTTTGCGTTGAATATTAATATACTTCGTGGCAGCTGGCCGGTCAACAACGGCAGTCGTTGGCATAGCCAATTTGCCATTTTTCTCGATGGTAGTGGCCTTGGCCGAACGGGTTCTTTTTCTTGCCATCGTTTGACCAAGATGGAACGTGGCTCGGTCACCAGCTACCCCAACTTGGCCCGGCAGGAGACGAATCATATTTGGACTCGATCGATCGACTGCCAACCTATTATTCTTGCAGAATGTCCGCATCAGCTACAAAAGCGCTGAATGTCAACTGTCATTTAACTATATTAGAAAAAATGATTCACACTTCTAGACACCGCTTCAAATAAATGCGGTTTACCAATAAGATAAAACTTAGATAACACTTTGTTCAGAATAAGATCATACTTCGGTTGCAACCAGTTTTTATGTCAGTAAATTCAAATGATGCAATATTTAACTATTTAACTATATATTAATATAACTGTAAAAGAAGACCTGCTCGCTTAGCGCCACAACTAATTGTATGATATAAGGAAGTATTGGAAAAACGGTCGATGCATTTATTATCTTCACGAAACTTGGTTGAATGTTGGTGACTGTATCAATGAAGTATGGGTTGATAAGTCTATACTATCAAAACATGGCGCCTTCAATAAAAGTCTTATAACGAAAGCGAAGGACCAACTAGTAAAGTGAAAGACTGATTATCCTTTATACTCGTATAGGTCTGAAATATAATTTTTGGAAGGAGGTCTTCTATGCTTCAAAACTAAAAAATTAGTTCGGAGTACCATGAATGGTAACAATTTCCATGAATAGTATGAGTCCACGTTGATTGTTGTAAACAAAGCACCGTATCATTCAGTTAGGTCGGAAAAATTAACTACGAGCCAGTCGAAGAAAAAGTAATTTTATACGTAGTTATCACCGAAAGCTAAACAAATTGACAAGCCAATGATAAAAGCCCAACTGCTCCAAAAAATACGAGAAATAAAATCGCAATACATTTCGTATGTCGTTGATAATGTGGCCAGAGACAATTTCCTCACAATATACTTCGACTCCTACCGTATAACTGCAAGTTAAATCCCATTAAATTAGCATGGAATGCTAAAGGATGCGTAAAAATCATAACATATCGTTTAAAATGAATGACGTTCGGGCCTTTCTAAAACTGAAATTGAAAGGATTACCAATGAAAATTATCAAAATTTCATTGGCCGTAGAAAAGTCTAAAAAGGAAAAATGTGGCAAGTCGATATCCATCATGGACAATATTATTAGTAACTTAGAGCCATGTGTGATATGTCTTCATCAATAAATAATGGTTCTTTATCTGATTCTTAACAATTGTTTTGTAATTATATAAATAAATGTAATAAATTCTGTAATTTGAAATTTTTTAATAAATTATTTTTTGTAAATTAAGAGTACATTCGCAATATACATAAAAACAAGTTCACAAAATAACAACAATTTTTGTAAAATTAATATAATAATCCTTAAAACACGTATGCGTAATACACGCGGTGCGGAATAATGTACTGACGGCGACGTACCAAACAATATGCACCGCACCGCGCTATAAATAAAATTTTAAACTATGTGTTAACTTCAGCTGCTGATATTATATTCACACGACGCTCCCGCCGATGAAAGCTCACGAAGCTAGCGATGCGGAACGAAGCGAGACCCATACGCACAAGTTGGCCGCTAAGGTATGATCTCATTCTGAACAGAGTATATGAATTGTCTTATTTTTGAAAATTAAATGATATCGGAGAAAAAAAATCTGTTGTGTTTTTTATTTTATTTTTATGCAATGGTACTTTAGTTATGAAATTATTACTAATGCATATTTATGTACTATATTATCACAATAGATGATAACTTACTTGTATTTCACGTAAAGTATTTACAATTTGCAAATTATTTATATATTTACTAACCTTCTTGAATGTTACTTACATTAGGTGGCACCCCAGTGCCCCGAAATGGACATTCCTGGTTTGTATATTTATTGCAGTTAGTTGCGCACTCGTAGTCACCTGGAGTGATCGAATTTTCTGCATTCTGACATACAGACGTTTCAAACAAATAATCTCTCATCTTTTCCATTGCGGTTACTGCGCATCTAACCATTTTGGACTCATTCCTGCAACATTCTCCACTATTTCTGGTTCCCTTGTTGTGTTCCATTTTAAGTAACTTCTGGTCCGTCATGCACAAGTTTTTTTTTTAATAAATGTGTAGAATTGTAATTTTTGGATAATTTTTATTTAATAAAATAGATTTTGAGTATAAGTTTTTTAATTTACTGAAATGCGATAATAGTCGCTATGGCTACAAAATAGTTTTGCGTAGTTATTAAAACTATATAATTATTAATTAACTGGCATAACTCTTCTATTTATCATTCTAATTAGAGTTTACTTGGACAGTGACGTAAATAGGAAGGTGGATCTAATAGTAAATATTATATATGATTACCTACAAGAATCATTAAAAAAATAATACTAACATCACAAATTTTCACATAATATTTGTATATATATTAAAATATATTGTATAATATAGACTATTTTAGATGAGATATTGCATGAATTTTTTTTTCAAGGCAATAATTTTTTTTTTAAGTTTAAGGTTTAAATACATAGGAAAAATGATAAAAAAAATTATGAACTTAAACTGATGAATTATAAGCTCATAAAGTTGGCTGTTGTTCAGGAACGACATCATGCATTTACACTATAACTGTTTTAATTTCATTGTTTTATAAAAAAATATAGTTATTTTTAATCTATCATTTATTTAAATATATATATTGAAAATTCAATAAAATAATTAGATACAAAATAATACAAATAATACAAATCTAACTTTAGTTTAACAAAACTTTATAGTCAATAAAAAAAAAAAAAAGATTAAAAACACTTTTTTATGATGTATGATATTAAAAAAAAAACCATTTTTTTCCTTTACCAACACATAAAGGCAAATTACATTTTGTACATTTTTGCCAGGTATAATATAAAGAACATCCTGGCATCTTACATTGGCTTTGCTTGTTAGTATCTGTTGATCAGTGACTTACTTGATCCAAGCAAAGGTCTTTAGGTGGCTGAACAGCTGCGTTCGGTTTATTTCTCCTCATTTCAATAACACTTTCCAATGTACTTGGGCGTCCACGTTTTGGTGTTATTCGTTGTCCACTGACACAAAGAGATATTCCAAGTTCTTCTCGAAAATCCTTAAGTGAAATAAGTTTTTGGGTTAAATCTAAATTATTATTTTTTTGAGCAATGATTCGCTGGTGTAGTAACACTAGTAACCATGAGTTTATTGTGGTCACATCTAATAAATGGTAAAATAAATGCATGTACCATTTCTTGGTTCTCATTTTAATTTTGTATCTACCTATCAAGCTGTCAAGTAGATCCACACCACCCATATGTTTGTTGTAAACTTTTACAATGTTTGGGCAAGTCAATTCTACTTTTTTTTTTCAGTTTTTGAAAATTTAATCACTTTTTCGACTGGGTTGGTACTCACAAATGTGGATAGTAATGTTACTATTTTATTTTATCGCCAGCTTACTGCAACTAAATCTGTATTTTGTAATTTTGTCAAACAACTATCATATGCCCCTCTTGGTTTTTTAGCATTTCTTTTTCTTGGGGTAGTAAAATATTACAGAGTATATTTCTTCGAGCTGTGCTCAATGATAAAATTCCTCTTCTTTTAAGATAAATCAATAAAAGTATTATTGTGTAATATTTATCAAAATACATTTTATAATTTTGGGTTTTCGGTACTACACGACTAAGTCTAATTACAACATTTGCTGCCGCTCCAAGGTTTGGTTCACACGAAGGTCTAAATCCATCATTATTTTCTTGGCCAGTAAATATTCAAAATTATATGAAAACCCTTATACTCCACTAAGGACAAACAATTTATAGCCCTATTTGTGGGGGTTTATTGGCATATACTGTTTTAGGCAATGTCGAGCTTTTGTGGAGCAAGCTGCTCATCAATGGATAAACTTTCTTCAAGCGAAATTTAACAAAATGTATTTTTCAGTGTTTCTACTACTGGCTTTATTTTATATAATCAGTCGTGTTCAGGATGGTCCTTAGGGAGCATACTATAATTATCAGAAAAATGATATAAACTTATGACTTTTTTTAAATTATTACAACACATTGTATTTTGAATTATTTTATTTCCAATGTTTGTACATCAGATACATGAACAATACTCATTATCGTACAAATACCCAAAAAATTATATTCTTCAACATTTATTAAAGAAATATTTTTATCGAATGGATTATCGAATTCAGAAATGATTTTAGTAAAATCTACATAGTCACTATTTTTCAAAAAATCGTCTAGTAAATCTTCGGTACATAAATTTGAAAAATTATCAAGGTCACTAATCTCTTCATCGTTTTCGTCAATAGATTCAAGATCATCTTCAGAATGGTAAGGAACCTCGTTACTTAAAATTTGCGAAATTTCACGATCTTTTTATTTGTTCATTATAAAAATATACTTTTAGAACGTTTAAAAAAAAATGTGAAATGCGTATATCGAATAACTACGGGTAACTGCACCGTATAAAAGTGATGTGAGTACTGCATTGTGTCGTTCAGAAACGACAACCAATATTATCATTGTTATGGATTACAGTAATTTAGATACTGTGAGTTAAGTAAACAAAATCAAAGTTCATGTCATTTATGATGCGATAATAATTTTTCTTTCGATAAAACTAGATTTTAAACTTATTAATAAACCATCACAAATATCACAAAACATGACACATAGCTCGTCAGAAAATTTTTCCAATAAAAACGCGTTTTTGAAATATGTGTTGCCCTTTACCGACAGAAAATTCAACTAACTACCTACATTTTAGTAGGCCATATACTTTGTATGACTTTTGATAAATAATATTAGTTATTTATTTTTTTTTTTTTGAACATGTTAAAGTGATGTTGTTCAAAAACGACACTATGCATTATAAGGATAACAGGGATAAAAGTAAGAGGAATTCAACATTGATGGCTTATAATTTAAACTGAAGAACATAAAATAAATGATGAAATAATCATAAAATCCAATTCCAATCACTCAATAAAGTTTAAGTATTCATTTGATTATTATTCAAAATGAACTATTTATACATCAGTATTATGTTCATACATCCAACAATACCTCTAAAATAAAGTCTTCATTTTTAAAATAATATTGACATATCTTTGAGTTCTCTTTTTTGGTATAACGTTCTATGAGCGTACTCCCATTAAATCTTCAAAAAAAATTTATTTGGTAACTCAAAGTAACCAATTGTTAGACCTTTATAAAAGTAGTAAGATAAACAATACATGATTTTTCAAGTAAAAAAACAATATTATAATGTAAAAATAGTAATAAAATCATAAAATAATTTTTTCTAAAATAATATAAAAATAATAAAATATATTACTTATGGTTATCAGTTATCAGTTATCACAATTGAAGTCATCTTACATAATAATGGTAGAGTATTAAACATTTAAAATAACCATGTAAATATAGATTTTCATATAATATTCTACTCAATGCACTCAGTTAGTCAAGCAACTAAAAGCAACTAAACATAAAAGGCAAATACTATCGGAAACAGTTTATTATTTATTGTATAGGTAGTACTGGTTAACATATGTGTTTAATAATTAAAGAAACAAAAGTGCCGGATACAGACTATCTCCGGACACACAGCACACGATCAAGATGACGCGACGCTCAAAACACACGTAAGCTATCGAGACTGACTGACTGACAAAATGAATTAGCCGGTCAGTGGGGCAACTAGGGGAGTGCAAAAAGGTCTTTAGCACCCTTCATTTTTTTTTTATACCTAATTGTTATTGTTTTAGTGAAATACCATGACTCTGTGAGCTGTGAGGCATTAACAGTTTTAATACCCCACGTTTTAGAGGTCTAGTTGCGCCAATTTGGCCGGTCAACTGAAAACGTGAGTTCACCGCTCGGCAGTGGCACTAATTACTAAAATATGATTGAGCCAATCAGTAGCCAATTTAACTGTTCTTGCTAGCGATTTCAATTTTTATGTGGTATCGTTTTTAACATGACCCGTCAAACAATCATTATCTATTTCATCGTGCTTAAAAAGCAGGCCTTGTTATTTTTAGCCATGTTAATAAGTAACCTAGATGGTGCCATAGCGTATCCGTTTTCATAAATCTGTTTGATTTTTTTTTATCCCTTTCAGCACTAGACCAAAATTTCATTTGACTATAATTTCCTACGAAACCACACATTTGTGTATATAAATCATTATCTCTTTAAATCCTAACATTAATTTCTACTTTTGTATTTACTGAAAACTAACATACACAAATGTGTAGTTCAGTTTTGAAAATCGATATAATTAAAACTAAATAAAATAGAGATTTCAGACCTATACAACACGATTGTGTATGTAACAAGCTATATTTAGAAAAAAAAAAAAAAAGTAATTATATCAAAATAAAGCGATAATATTCTTATTTTAATAATTTTTATTGCGTTTCTTTTTTTGTAGATATTTGTCGATAAGCCCAGACCTTTAATTTTTTATCAATATTTTATTTTTAAACTTGTTTCCATTTTAGAATTAAACAAAGAACATAGTACTATGGTAATCGTGAATTTATATTCTATTTTATTTTTTATAACTACGAATATGTTTAACCTACACATATGTGTACGTTGGTTTTATAGTGTTTATTTTAATTTTTAGTTCGTTAACTGCGCTGATCGAGTGTACTACTGTATTACTGATAATTTTTAATGTCATTTTCTTATTTATTAATGTCAAATTTGTTTTAAATAATTATTAAAGTATATTTAATAATTAATAATGAGACCGAAAACAATAACTGAGTGTGATATTTTATCATTTTTGTCTGATGAGTCAGAAATTGATGGATTTAGTGACGATTCCGATGCTGACAAAACGTGGCAACCTCCCGTTATTAACAAAAATACTGTTGATGATGAAGATGAAGACGAAGAAGAAGATACTGGATTTGAACAGGTTAGTGATCATGAAATCATTGTAGATACTTCGAAATCACTACCTAATTTACAACTACATGATCAACCTCAAACTCCAATTATTGTAACAATTACTGGTTGGGCTCCAGTTCCTTTTAATGGTATTCAATTGCCAGATCAACAATATGGCCCACATGCTTTCAAAGTAATTGAATCGGCATCTAGTTATATTAAAAAATATCTTCCAGACTCGCATTTTGATGAAGCAGCTTTATTTACAAATATGTATGCTATGTCAAAACTAGGAAAAGAACTTAAAACTTGTGCTAATGAAATAAAAGTTCTTTATGGAGCTCATGCAATGATCGGTATAATAAAGTATCCTCGTATTCATATGTACTGGCAAAGAGGTATCCAATTTGATTTAATTGCACAAGCCATAACGAGAGATAGGTTTTTTTTACTTCGTTCTTGTTTACATTTTGTGGATATCAACAATCGTCCACCACAGGCAGATCGCTTTTGGAAAATTAAACCTATTATTGACAGTGTACGTAATGCTTGTTTAAGTATACCACGTAATATTAGTTGTTTTTCTATTGATGAGCAAATGATTCCATTTTTGGGACGTATTCCCTATAGACAATACGTTAGAAATAAACCTAGACCAGTTGGTCTTAAAAACTTTGTGCTCACGACTTCAAAGGGTTTAGTACTTGATTTTGAAATTTATCAAGGCGAAAATACACCATTAGATAGATCACTTGGATTAGGCCCAGCGGTGGTCTTAAGATTAGCAAAAACTATTCCAGAAAACTCTGTATTATTTTTTGACAGATACTTTACTACTATTCCATTACTAGATCGTTTAAATGCAATAAATATAAAGGCGACAGGTACAATTATGAATAATCGTTTAAAAAATGTACATTTTAGTGAAAATAAAAAGTTTAAGCAAGGGAAATGGGAAGAACTTACTCGGTCTGATAACCAAATAGTTGCAATAAAGTGGAAAGATAGTAAGTGTGTCACTGTGTTATCAACAGCCACAGGTGTGGAACCACATACAATGGTAACACGTTGGAGTAAGTCTGAAAAAAAATATATAGAAGTTCCTTGTCCATCAGTAATTAAGACTTATAACCAAAATATGGGTGGCGTAGACGTGTGCGACCAACAACTCGAGGCTTACCGCACGTGGATAAAAACAAAAAAGTGGACACTAAAAGTTGCCTTACACTTTATTGACCTATCTATTGTTAATGCATGGATGGAATATAGACAAGATTCTTTAAATATGGGAATTAAAAAAAATTGTATTAAAGACTTAATGGAATTTAAAATGGAAATAGCGCGTGATTGGTTAGCAGCTTCTATTAAAAACAAACGTCCTCTTACGGTCGACTCTTCGTCGTCTAGTGAAGATAACATTGAACCAACTGAACCCCAACAAAAAATTCAAAATTATAGAACTCCTTTTCCACCTGAACATAAAACGAAGGACAAATATGAACACTGGCCAATTGTTGATGATTTGAAGACTGCGAGAAATTGCAGAAATAAAAAATGTAAAAGTCGTACTCGGGTAAGATGTAGTAAGTGCAATATTTATTTGTGTTTAACTGCAAAGAACACATGTTTTAAAGATTTTCATACTTAAAAAATACTATATTATTTACTGAAATTATTTTTTTTATTTTGTTATTTTACAAGTTAACTATAAAAGTGTATTAAGAAGTTCAATATTTATTTTTTTTTTTTTAATTAAAATTGTTATTTGTTGATAATAATAATATGTAACATAAAGAATTGATTTATTATTACAGAACGTACCTACACAAATGTGTAGGTTGTTTTTTAGCAAAAATAATTGTTTTTTTTTTTTTTTTTAATATTTTTCCTATACATTTTGATACCTAATTAGTACATTCTGAAACATATAGAACGTTTGAAGAAAAAAAAAAATCCAGGATTTAAAGAGGGTAATAATTTACCTACACAAAAGTGTATATTGGTTGACAATGGTTATAAAATTGAAATAATATTCAGTATGTAGTAACAAAGTTATTCACCTACACAAAAATGCAGGTCAGTGCTGAAAGGGTTAAATTAAAAAAGAAACTTAAACTTTTTAAGAATAGTTGTATCACTTTTATCGACGTAAATCTTCAAAGTTCAACGAAATTACAGCTAATGATTATTTTTCGTATCTAGCAATAAATCAAAAGCCTATAATTTAAGCCGGAAAATACAAATCCAATTTTGAACCCAAGACAATCATAAATTATGGCAAAACATATATTTACATTGAAATATTTTTCAATAGTTAACAATTTTTATACCTGCATAAAGTTTTTGAGAAAATTTAAAAAAAATCAATTTTATTTATAGTAAAATTATTTACCTAAAACTGACCGTTTAAATATAACGAAATTCAAAATGTGTTCATTATTTTGCGTTCAAAAAAATAATATATTTTTTTTAAACTGTATTAAAATAGAATAAAATGGTTTTTTTTTTGAACTGAAACTTTTTTAGAAGAGGTAAACAATAAACACGACAGATTTAAAAAACAGATCAAAAAAATTTAATAAGTTAAACATTGTCATTGTAGTGGTAGATAATAATGATATTTATTATAATGTGTTAATTATTATAATTGTTATTTTTCAGTGTATCAGTATACACAATTTAAATAGATACCATGGTTTCTATTTATTTTTGTTATCAATTTGATGTCTCAGAAAAAAGTTATAATTCCCCGTGCGTATTTACAACACGCATACTGTTTTGTAAATCTAATTACTCATAAGAACTGCGATAAAATTTCAACCAACCGTCAATGAAGAAGAAATATAAAGTATGGATTAGTAGAATCCTTGCAGGAGTGGTTCGATAGGAAATTAAAAGAGATATATTGTATTAGGAGTGCGTGTAGATAAACTAACGTACACAGCGGACTGGACGAAAAGAAACTTAAATAAAACAAGAAATGAGGCGATGCAGTTTAATTATTTATGAGAGGTTTCTGTGGTCAGTGTGGTACAAATGTATAATGAATATAAAGTGTACACCAAAGGGGACTAATACCTACAATTAAGTGAATTCTAAACCCACATGTGCTGTCTTCGTTCTCTAAAACATTTTAAGTTTCTAATAATAAGAAAAAAAAAGTAGTATAAAACATTGATTTATTATCATTTAATTATACTATTATTTCTAATAATATTTATCAATTATCAAAATAACAACCAACAACGCTGGCGGATCTGGACGTCAATACAATATGGTAATACCTAGTTTATTTTAAATAATAAATAATAATTTTCTTATTCATATAATACAATACAAACGAAAAGGAGTGCAAAATTTCAACAATATTTCATTGTTATTTAATTAAAAACATGGTGCGTGCAAATAATTCAAACAAAATGTTTTACTAAATAGTATAATAATTAATATTATTGAGCACATTTATTAACATTTTTTAAAGGTGTTTGAATTTCAAAACATGGCATTTCACACAATGATTGACAAATAAATAGTTGTTAATAAAGCATTTAAGTATTTGTTGTTCAACGAATGTCTATCAATGTATAATATAATGTCACCAAAACAATTATGTATTTTGATTGGTGAAACACGATTGCGATAATGTTACCTGTTTTTTTTTTTTTCTATAACACAAATGTGTACAATTATCGGTTAATTAATGGCATTTATTTTTATTTTTTTTTTTGTTAGTTTAGGATACACAATTTTTAAAATATTTTTTTTTGGTTGCATTGTGGTAATTTTTATAGTATTTTTTTTTTTTTTTTGTACGACATTGCACTGCAGTAGATTTTACTTTTACCTTGAACACAAGAATCATTAATATAAATCCAAGGTTTGATTAAGAAAAATATTTCATCCACTTCGAGACAATTTATTTAGCTAATAATTTTTATAATAATCACATCTTTTTATTCATACTAATTTATAGTAATTATTAGAAAATAAACATTGAATGGAATATAAGTCTTTTAATATTTTCAATTTATACATTTCATTTTGTATATTATTGTATGTACTAAGTAGTCGTATACGAATCGGCAACACCATATATAAAAGGACAAGAAAAGTCAATCGTAATTATGCCATTTACCCATTATCAATCGTGTATCACCATTTAAAACAATATGTGCAGTATTCAATTTATGAAAATTAAGAAATCCATTGAATGTGTGACCTACAAAAAATATCTACTGGATAATTTTTAATAACCTATCCGTTTTATGAACATATAAAATAAATAATACAATATTTATACCTAGGCATTTATATATTTTAAGAATAATACAATTAAATATACATTTTATAATTTATTATTCAAACTTATTATTTTTTATAAATTTGAAAAAAATAAATAAAAATTTACTAAAATATATTTATACGGATTACATTTTTTATCCAATTTAATTAATAACTATTTTCATTATTTGTTAATACCATGTATCAATCAAGTGCCTCGTTAATTCTGGGGCGATGTCATGCATTTTACATACATTGTTCATTTTTAAAACAGATCACACTGCCTCAATTGCTTGTGTGTTTGGACTAGAAAAATGTTACAAATGATTTACTGTTTTATTATTATAACATAGATATTGAAAATTTGCATACGCTTTTCACTCGCTCAATTGAACAGTTGTATCTATTAGCCAAAATGTAATTTTGAATTATTTATACTAATTAGTGTAGCAAGACCGAAGAGGCCTAAACAGAAATTATTGTCTTTTCTCCAACTCATACCAAAATCTCTCAACCCTTCATTGTGTCTAGTATTGTTTTTTGTAGTTTTTTGTGTACTAGTATTTTCTTAATCTGAATCTGATTTAGATAACTAATCAGCTGATAGTTTCCTCGATATTTAATTACATTTTCTTTTAAGAAATGTGTTATTCATTTGGATATACAATACTCACTCATAGGTGTTAAAATATTGAAACGAGTTTAACTGCTAACAAGGATTAAACCAGCTTAAAATTTAGATGGCATAAGACCAAATCTTTGTAATAACACGATGGCTGCGATTCCGCTATACACCATTAAACAAAATTCGACCACTGATATTTTAAAATGTTTTAAAAAACAATACACGAAAACATGCAATCACTACAACAACACTGTTGAAGTTTAACTATTTGTATAATATATCAATAACTATATCAATTTATTATAAAATATTCAGCAAATAAGGTACATTACATACTTTATCTAATAAAATACTTGTGTAAGATTAAATATTGTATGTCACACACTTAAATGGACATTTTGCTGTAGGTCACACATTAAATGAATGTCGACAATAATTAATGTTTTATTAGAAATCCTGTGCAAGTATAAAGCGCTTATTATAAAATGTTTTTTTCCTAAAAAACGTGTTAAAAAATAAAATATTACATAAACCGTATAACATGTATTGTTACATAACATATAAGTAGGTACATAATATATTATTTGTACCGATACACTTTATACAATGACATATTTAACAAATATTTCTTAGTTGTGGTTTTAATATTTAACATGACTGTCTTAATCGTAAAAAAGCTCTTTACTCATAAAATTACAACAAATAATAATTTTCACATTTGTTAATTTGTTTGCCCCGAAAACAAAAAAAAAAAAAAAAATGCACATCAACTAATGATACTTTATAATGTATTGAAATTAAATATCTTATAATTACCCAGCGTTTTTATGAAACCTAAAGGTAAATACGCTATTGTTTATTATATAAAACAATATTACTTAACACAATAAAATATAATAATAAAAAATGTATGTAACATTTTAATGCATTGAAATCTAAGGACTAAGGTTGATGTGAGTAAAACAATGTAGGATAAAATAACATTTTACAATTTACATATATTGTTTTTAATTAAATAGTGATTGTATCGCATTAAAAAATAATATATCAATGGAAAATATTTTACTCTAAAATTAGTTGAGATACCTATCTAAATATTAGTTATATGTTGTATAATATAATTCTTATTAAGTACGATGACACGAAATTACATTGTGTACTTTGACTGATCTACGTCCACTATGAACCAGCAAATCTATGAAAATGTATAGTACATTAACACAAAACACGTAAACTGTGTATGTTTTAATGACACTTATATGGTTACGTATTATCTAGACAGGTTAATTATTGAACTGATAGGTGTCTCGTAAAAATAAGAAAAGAAATGTATTGATAAATCTAAATTGGTTCCTGGGTTGTTATAAAGATAAATATCTAACTTATTGGAATTAGAACCAAATTAATTTTTCATCACTATTTTGATATTACCTATTATTATTTTTATTTTTTAAAATATAGATTAAATAAAGTTACTATAATTCACTAGTCAATAATAATTAATATTAGAATACAATAATTAATAATAAAAACAAAAACATACATAATTTTTAAAAAAATATTGACAAAATAAAAATAATATTTTTAATGAATAGGTACTTATTTAAAAATTTCATGTTGTTGAAATTTATCAATTTTTTAATTTTAATTTTTGAGATTATCGTTTTTGCGAACGTAATGTATGTTTCATTTTAAATATCTTTTAAAATATCAATAAAATGAAAAAGTTTTTGAAATTTCAAATTATAATGTCATATTTTGCGATTTACAACTGTTTGAAAATATCGGGAATCGATTTGGATATTAATTTTCAAATACAGGAACCAATTATTTAGATGTAGCCAATGGTGCATTTAATTTATTCATCGATGTAGGTAGGTACTACTATATGTACCTACTTAACATGTTGTGAACTACTATAGTTTTTTTATTATATTTAAATAATATTATGTCTTTTTGGATTGAACACAATGACATTTCGTCATTATAAGTACTTATATATATGTTATTTTATTAATCAAGAGTAAAATAATTGTAAGAGTCCAAGTAGGCGTTTTAGACTATTTTACAATGTCATATCAATATTATTTTACAACCCTAAATATTGAAACGACTAAAGTAATAGTAATAATAATAATAATAATAATAATAATAATAATAATAATAATAATAATTTAATAATTTAATGATCTTCGTATAAAATGGAAATTATTGTCTAACAATGGAATCAAATATATAGTTAGTTAACAAAGTGTAGAAATAAAAGAATATAAACTAATATTATCGCAATGCAATTAAAAGCACAAATATAAAATTGTATTACATTATACCACGTACTATCAATAATAACAGCTATATTTAACGTAATTAACAATATTAAATCAATGGAAAAATAATAATTATCATGATATACCTATAATATGTTATTAAACGGCTTTTTCATTTCTAGCCTCACCACACGAATCGCTGAAATTAGTTTCAAACTACTGATCAACGATCATAATCTTTTTGATATATTACATAGGTACAGTGTTTGTTTTTTATTTCTATAACAGAAGATTAAGCATGACACACAGTTACATATATGATTATGATGTATTTCAATATACATTACATCTAAGTATTGTAATGCAAGTAAGACATTTTTAGATTTAAAACGGCCTTAAACTGGCAGAAGCCATAAGGTGTAAAAGTATATAGTATAAGAATATTAATAATAATAATAATAATTTTAAAAAAAACATACATAATGCATCAGTGAACTTATTATATGGATATAGGTAATATTATATTATGACTTGTAACGGACGTGGAAAAAATAATAAATAAAAATGTAACCGATTATTATCTTATGTTATAGTATAACGAAATAGGGAAGATCTTTATTGAAATAAGACAAATCAGTATGACATATTAATGTCCGGTTGATATACATGATGATATATTACAATAACAACCTATACCATAGATTGAATTAAGTTCGTCGAGCAATACGCAATTGTCTAACAATATATCTAAATAATGTAATATTTTAATATAGAAATGTATAATGCATGTTAAGATACATTATAATATACGATCATTACGCTGTCGTATGCGGACACCACTGCGTATAAAATGTAAGTAAAAGTTTAATATTATTCTATTGAATGCCAGTCTGCGGCTTACAGCAGACGCAGAGAAGAAGCAGCGTTACTGATACATTTTATTAGGAAACACAGAGCCGAGTACCAAAACCGCCTGATAGACTTGTTGCCTAGTAATATATATCTGATTGCCAGCACGACAAACACCATTTGGCTAGTCCGGTGTAGATAGTACATTCTGAAACAATGAATAAAAATGATCAAATATGTGTGTGTGTATGTTAGTGGTTTAGATTAAGTAGTCGTCCTTGACCGTTCTCACATTCCTTTATTTTACCATTTTAATCGTTAATTCAAGTCTTGTTAAGGATGATCTTGAATTCCTAATGGATTGAAAAAGCTACCAAACAAGTTTTATAATGTATTTTTTAGGAATGGGATTAGTAAAGGCACTCAACAAGTTTTTGTAGATTAAAAAACGAATATTGTGATTTAAACAGATATTATTTTTATTTTTATATTTATTATTTTTTCTTTTTTTGATTTTTATTATCCAATAGCTATTAAAAAAAATCACAAAAATGTAAACGCGTGCATAGAATTATTAATATTTTCAAATGTAAACTCAAGCTTTATCAATTTATAATCAGTGTCAACTTCGATCATTTATTAAAATTTTTATCTATTTATTGAGCGATCGGTTTTACAGACGTTGTAAAATCTACAGATATTATTTATAATTTGCAAAACCCGTGTTGCCATACTGATGGTTTAGGAAATCCAATTCGCTAATCTTAGAAAATAATAAGAACAATTAGAGATACATTTATAACATAGTCTCATCAAATAAAACAATAATAACATTTGGAAATATCACGACATTATTAAATTTAACGATTCCGACTGACGCGAGTATTTATTTAGGTCCAATTAAATTTAACGAGAAGCCTATAAACTATAGACAATTTTAGCAAGTAAATTAAAAATAAACTTTTTATTTTTTTTATTTTTAAAAAAAGTCGTAGAAAGCGTTTAAAGCTATAAAAAAAAAAAAAATAAATAAAAATAGAAATGGGCCTCCAAGTCATCCTAGTAAAGCAAATTAGTTCATTTATATATGGTCGTCAAAGTATTTCATAAGATTAGGTACAAATCTGTACTAAACATACCGTCTTAATCGCGATTTGGCGTTAGGGACTGTACTTGGGTGGTCTTTAAGCACAAACTGCCTGGTTCCCCATATGTACGACTCGATATAGCTTCGCCACTTCAGTTGCGATACATCAAAGTAAAACGTCTTTTGGTCATTGGGATCAAGTTCGGTGAAAAGCCTCTGTACGTTTGTGTTCTTGAAGTTCCATTCATGCGTGGTGAAGAACTCTAGACACGACACCGCTTTCTGTAGCCGTTTATGAATTCGAATTAACCTGCGTGCATAAATATAGACAAAAAAAATTAACAATTATTTATTATTATCTATATAATCTATAACCTATTATCTATAATTTACTTATCGAAGTAAAAATAAATGTAAAAAATAAAAAATGAATAAACACAATTGGTATTCTCCATCTGTCTTAGAAAACGGATAGACTTCACAAATTGCGGCTGATTTCAATATCACTTCCTGTGGATAGTATTAATCAGTAAATGTTCAGTAATCTACTAATATTAATTATAATTATGCAACAAATCAGTCGTTGGATATATTTGAAGATGGGTATTAAACAACTATCACACGTAGGACATATTTTAATATTTAAGTTGTATAAAATACGAGTAGTTAATGTTTAATGCCTTAGATGTAGAAATATCTAATAATTTATTTTCAGTTATTTAGGTAAATAAGTATGTCTTAACCTATATAAAATAAATGCTTTGTTACGATTTTTAATTACATTTTTATCGAACTTGTACAAAAAGTTATATATTATCAATTGGATTAAATGGACCTTGGATAAATTTGATTCGAATTAGATTCATACAATCTAACCGAGCATTTAAGGAACCAGAAACGCATGTTATTGTAAGTATATTATTATTTTTATCTGGTGTATCTCGTTTATCCTTGTGACACTTCCAATCAACGATTTATGTAGAAACACTCCCATCCCTACATAAAAAGATAGTCCCAATAAAAATTAGAAGTTCAGTACAATAATTAATAAATTCTTTAATGATTTACCTATAGTTATGATTTTATGAGCTATAATATATAATATTATGTTTCATATTTTCCTTGTATCAAGATCATTATATTTATAGTTTACTTCATACACATTTTTTGTTTGAATATTTTTCGTTATGATTATTATTTAACTAATATATTTTTTTTTATTACTGAGAATTCAATTTTATTACATACTTTATATATAAAATATATATACAATTTATCAATATAGGTATATATTTATTGTAATTATAATAAATATTTATATGTTTAAAACTGTAAATAATATTGATAATTTAATTAAAAATAAAAAAAAACGAATTTGCTTATTTTACTCCTGCAATAATAAAATTAAATAACTAGAATTTATACTTTCAACTTCAATTAGTTGGTTGAAACCTTAAAGCATAATGATATGGTTATATCATTTACAGGGTTGAATAATGAAAAATATTATGATTTTATACTTAATGAGCTCCTTATATTTTAATTTGTAATTATACAATATGAAACAAAATAGTAACTGATATCTGATATTTTTACAGCGGAGATTTTAAATGTGATATTTCTTCGAGTAATAAACAATTACAATTATACTTTAAAAATATTGATACGAATTAAGGAATTACAATTTGTCTAAATATTTTTCATGTAATGAAAATAACAGTTCTAATTAATAACATCAAACATGATTTAAAAAATATATATATAAGTTTTTGTCAAAATAATAAAAAATAATGAGTTCATTTTTCTCACTTTCATGAAGATGAAATACCAGTTAAAAACAATAGAAGAATAGAAAATAATTATTTTGATATTTTATAACTTTTTACAATTCAGTAAGGTATTATCTAACAAATAAATGATTAATATTTAGCGAAAATTCTTTTAAATAACATTTATTTTGTTCTAAAAATAATGACCAGGGAATTATTAAATATTTATTTTAATACTACTATTAACTATATGGTTTTAATTTAAAATATTTTTTGAAATATATAGCTCATGAAAAAAAACTTTATATTAGTTAATTTACTATTTAACTGTTTATTATGGAGGTGAATCTCACACTATTTATCTGACGATATAATGTTATATAAGTTCATTGTGATAAGCTAGTAGGTGGTAAATAGCTTTTTATAAAAAGTTCAAGATTAATTATAATTTTTAAGTTATGGAATAATATAAGTTATGTACTTTAGATCTCATATCATATTAAATTTATAAATTTTAATAAGACACCATCTGTATATATTTTAAGGTTAAGGTGTCATAACTAGTGTTTTCAAGACTTTAAAGTAAGCTTTGACATTATACCACAGTCGATGTAGTGATATTTATTTCACTTTAAACTTGAAAGAAGGTAAAAGTAAAAATATATCAAGATTTAATATTTTTTGAGACTAGAATAATATTTAATGAGAACATTTTGTTTTCAAGCGTGGAAATATAAAATTATTTTTTCAAAAGTATATAATATTATGATATTATGATATATTTAATTTATGATATTACTGTGATTAAATATATTTATTTTAAATCATTCGTAGAGTAGTATGATACATAATTTTCGTATGCAATGCATAATATTGTATATTTATTTTAAGATAAAAAAAAAAGTTAAAATCATGCAAGTAATTTTATCAATACGATGTTTTATATGCATATTTAATATTTTTGTATAAAATCGTTTGCTCTTTTATAATAATATAAAGAATGTATTCTTAAAATCTATTTCTATTTATTAATGTTTTTAATGAATCGTTTTAAAATATGATTGCGTTCCGTTTATTAATCAACATTTTTTTTTTTAATTACATGATATTGAGGAAAACAAATTTTCAAATATAATATTTTTAATCCGTCAACTGTAAACTGTTATTATTTATACATATCCAGATATTAGCGATATTTAAATCCTAAATATATTTAGCATCCTTTTTTAAAAATATTGTATGATGTATGATAAGTGATAACTATTTAAGGCAATTATTTGTAAGTACCATTTTAACTAATAAGAACCAAGGTCTGAATGGTAAACGGTAAATAATATATTGATGTTTAATATTATGCAAACCATGATTTAACATAGATAATGCTATGACACATGCTAACGGGAAAACTTGGCCACCTATCGACCTATATATTTCTGATTATCTGATACCTGAGTGAATAATTTAACTAAATAATAACACAGTCCAGCGACTACTTTGCTGTTTTAACTTTTTGCACTTATATTTATAGATTTTAACGGGCTGAATTCAAATATGTAATCAGTTTTTCTTTAACACGTCTAGTTTTTCTACAATTTGAATTTTAAACATTGTATTTTCTGTACAGTTATACAATAATATGCGGTATATTCCCAAGTCGAATTATTATTATAAACTCAGTTTGTAGTATACTTTACTGAAACTTTAATTTTATATTTATTAAATTGTTTATCTTATAGTAGTTCAATTAAATATATTTTTAAACTCATACAATTGATGTTTATTCTTTATAGTTACGTTCATTTTATTTTTTATAAAATATCCGAGTTCTACATCACATTTCTAAGATTTTATACGGGTGATTTTTGATTTTAATTTTTTTTAGTATGACGTCTAAAAACATTAAAAGAAGATGTTGTAAAAACAATTCAAATTTATTTTGTTATATATGTGGTGAATACGTTATAATGAAACAACGAAATAACAATTTAACAATTAAAATAATAATTTTTGTTAAAAATGTATACCACGAATATTTTGGTATTAAATTAGGAGATCAAGATAAATCATGGGCACCCCATATTACTTGCCGATCCTGTGTTGAAAGTTTGCGAAATTGGAAACAAGGTAAGCGTTTATTAATGGCTTCTGGAATACCAATGATTTAGCGAGATTCAAAAAATCATATTGACGATTGCTATTTTTGTATTGTTGATATTTTCGGTTATAATAAAAAAAAAAATCAAAGTTAATTTACCCAAATTTACCTTCTGCTTTACGACCTATACCGGATGGTCCAGAATTACCAGTACCTGTACCGTCAGAAACTTTCGAAACTATTTTAAACCATGATTCTGATGACAATCTTAATAATAATTATGAAGACTTTCAACTTGACGCCACGGATGTTCTTTAACTTTTTGATCAATTTAAATTAAATGATTTAGTACGTGACTTTGTCCTTACTAAAGAGGCAGTTAAAATTTTGAGTTCGAGACTCAAAAAAAAAAATTTATTTACAAAATGTACTACTTTTATTGGTGCAGGAATCGTGAAATAGAATACAAACAATTTTTTTCAAAGGAAGGATCACTTGTATTTTGTAATAATATTTCTAGGTTAATTCAATATTTAGACAAATATTATGATGTGAATGAATGGAGGTTGTTTATAGATTCATCTAAAAGAAGTCTAAAAGGTGTTTTACTTCATAATGGAAACCAGTTAGCGTCTGTTCCTATTGCACATATTATTTATATATAAATGTTATGCTATCTTTAATCGTAATTTTAAAAAAAACTAGACGTGATAGAGACAAACGGATTTCAAATTTGAATTTTGCGCGTTAAGTTCTATAAGGATCAGGTATTATTACACAAATAACAAAAAAAAAAAAAAAATTTCACAAGACTGCACAATTTATTTATTTGTTACTTATTTGAAATAAACATGTATATAATTAAAGTTTCCTCGATAGACAATTTTTAAAATTGACATTTGTTTTCAAATTTTACTTGTTAACTTACTAACAGTGTAAAAAAAAGGTCACTCGCTATGAAGCTACTCTATATACTAACTTCCAAAAAAATATCCCTTCACTGACGATAGAATACGTGAATTTGACACACATGATGTCAAACGAATTAATACATTTTTGTTAACAGTTAAGCGCCAATGACATCAAATTTTGTAGTTGTATGAAATAATAGCTTTCACCGTTTACAACCAATAAAGATTTGCTGTTTTTTTTGTGAAGGGGTAAATCAGGAAGTAAATTACTATCATAGTATTATATTTATAAACAAATACCTATAGGCTATAATAGATACTATTAACCTATTTTTATACAGTAACAGTTGTAATGGTGATAAAAAAAACAAGTGTTTGTCCCAATTCAAATTGTCTCTTTAACATGCATCGGTAATCATGTAGATATGCAATTTTATATTTATTTGTGAAATCTTACCTTGGCTGCCTTCCAGTAATTTTTGCGAGCCCGTCGATGATGTAGGCAGGTGCCATTTGAAAAGCAGTTACACACAAATAGTTGACGAGTCTGTTGCTTTTGAAACTGCCACCCGGGTACCATAAAATGTCACTAAATGGATTCTCTAATATAAATTCGTGGCCTAACCGTTCGATGTCTTTCCAGTAAATTGGATTCGTTGTGCCAGACGTACAATGATAAATCTCTATGCCCTTTGGCCTGCCAAAAGTCAAATAGTTTACATGTATTGAAAAATATGTTTATATATATATATATTATATGAAAAGGTAATTAATAAAACTATATAAGTTTAATGGTTTATATACTTTTTAATTAATCTAAGAGCTGAGATAGAGTCAAATTGAAAGACAGATGACAAAATATCACAACAAATAAAATCTGTTATTAGAATCAATAATTATCATGATTTTTATTTTTATGATTATTAAGTGATATTAAATTGGAAATATTGAGTTACATACTAATTAGGGACGAATCGTTAGATCAATATTCTAATGTAACGATTGTGAACGAATCGTTAGGCCAATATATTAAAAATATCAATTGCAGACATAAATTTAATAAAAATCACGCGAGTTGCAAACACAAATATTTCTTTTCATCACTTTTTCAAGAATTAAAACTCAAAAACATCGGTACAATTTTAATATTAATAGTCATTAATAGAGTGGCTAGGTATGTAAACAATTGTACATATCGTCGATATTAAATTTCTTATGGTCTGGAATAGTTACATCGAATATAATGATTAGAAATTTGTTCGTAATTCGTAAGTCACCTTTTTAGATTTCATCCGAAACTCACACAGTTTTTATTATTTTGTCTACAATTAGGAAATGCCGCAATATTTTTATTCATGCTGTTAAATTGTCATAATCATTAGAAAGACTTATATATATATATAAATTTTTTTTTAATGAAAATGAAGCTTTTCGTTATTTTGTACTAAATAAATACGGTCATGTGGATTCAACATATCCATTTTGGAATTATTACGAAATTATTTTTGTTTTAGCAATAGTTGGTCAACTGTGACTTAATCAAACTTATGAAAAAGAAGTCCAGTTGCATTTCGAATGGATGAAAAATTATAAATTTAATGATAATAATAATCTATATGTCGATTTTTTAATGAAATTTTTAAAATAAAACTATTAAAAAAATTCTATTTATATGAGATTGACATATTTATTTTTTCTCCGTTTTAGAAAAAGTTATTTTGATTAAAAAATAAACTGGGCTTATTTATCTAAGACACAAGCTATACTTAATTAAAACACTATACAAGAAAAAAATAAAAATTATTCTTATGAAATATTATAGAATGAAAAAATGATGAATTTGTACAAAAATAGTATTTCTTCATTGCTTTGCTCCGTTCGGTTGTTATTGCTGGTTTAAAATAACGCGTAAAGTAACATGCCTGCCTATGTTTCGATACATCTTCACCAACTAATTTATATGTTATTAATTTAAAATACTCAAAATAAAAAGCGATTTTTTGTTACAAAGTCATAAATATTTTTCTGCAATCTGATACCAAGATCTATTTAAATAACAAATATTAAAAGTAAAAACATTTATTTTATCCATATAATTTATACATTTTTTCGTTTGTCTATATTACAATATATTATATTATATACAGCTTATAGGTTCTCCTGTTTTCGTTATTAAATTCGTTTTATTTCTCTGTATGTAATTAATAGTACCTATTGAAATTTGTTATAATGCATTAAGCATTGTTTTTAAAATCATAAATTTTTGAATAAAATACTGGTGATATTGATAAACATCAACCTAATTGAACTTAATTGCCTATGTCCATCGGGTGATCAAGGAAGAATTCAAGTAGATATACGTGAGCGATATTTTTGTAAAAATGATGTAAAATTCTCAAACAGTTTTGAATGTATGTGTTATTCATAATTCGATATAGGCAACTTAAAACAATTACAGAATTTAAAATATATTATTACTTTTAAAAATAATTGTTGTTGAAGTAATATTGAATATTACTCGCTAATAGATAATTTTGAAAACGAAAAATAAATTGAAGAAAAAAGCATTTGAACACATTAGATATATCAAATAAAACACGGAGATATATTTGTTATGTTTAGTTTACTCAATAGGTTAATTCGTGGACATCGTTGGAAAAGGGAATGTTTAAATTAAAATGTATCTATACAAAATATAATCAATTCTTCATAATCATAGAGAATACCTGTCACTTTATATTAGAGCAGGTAGTTAAATTTCAGTAAAATAATTAAGTTTATTTAATTGTAGACATGAAAGTTATTATTCCTGTTTGTATATTAAAAAAATAAAAAATATCTATCCAAAAAAAAAAAGATAAATAGTATGTTGGTTTTAAATTTACTCTGATAATTAGGTATCTAATGTATATTTTTACAATAAGTAAACATACTAAAATTTATGATGCCAATAAAATTATAATATAATAAAAGAAGTTGCAAGACCTGCAGTTCAATATTTTTGTTGAAATAAATTACTATAATTTGTAGCAAAGATACTTTTTCGCCTTATATGTTATTTAAATTACCAAAATTATGTTTAATCATTTATATTAAATTCAATAAGCATTGTATGCCTTAAAAAAAAAAAAAATAGCTGGATTAATATTCAGGAATATTTCTAAGAGGCTTATATTTATAACCATGTACAATATATAGCATATGTGTGTTATTTTATTCTATATTGCATTTATCATAGTATTGTGGTTTTAAAATATTAGTAACATATTGTATTGTTTGAGTTTAAGATAATCAATTTTATTGGTTATTTGAGTATTACATTAATGCGGATGAAAAATACGGATGCAGAGATCCATAAGAAGGATATGAAGTGATATAGTACGAGTACATAACGAGTATACTTAAAAGCATTGTTTAAGAATAAAGTACCAACCCCTCAAAGTGATTACTTAAATAGTTAATTACGTAATAAATTATGAAAATAAAAACCAATAATAAAACAATTAATAACACAGAGATTTCAATCTGAGTAAAATGGTGCTAAGTTTTATATTATATGCAAAATATGTTAGGTACCAAAGGTGTTTACTAATCTTATTTTGCTTATCTTGGCGTTGGACAGTGATGTGCTATTAAATTAAATTTAAAATAAAAATAATCCAATATTTGCATTATAAAAATAATTTTGAGCGGAGCTTGGTTAAAAAATTATAGCAGAAATATTTTTTTATGACTATATTTATCGTCGATATTTTTTTGTAAAAGAAACTAATGAGAAAACTCAAAAATTACATACTGACTCAAATTCTGATCTTTAAAGTCGGTTTATGATATTTTTCTTAGCACTTCTTATTGTACCCAACAAAGTATGCTCACAAAAAGATAGTAATAGTAAACTAAAATATAACGATAAAACCACCGTAAAACCAATAATTTTCTCACCTTACTTAGAATCAAAGATGTGCTTGACTAAATAAAATATACATATTAAGATTTAAATAAATAAATATAGTATCGTACCTAATACAATTGCCAGTCATAATCTACATAATGACACTTGTATTTATCTAAATTGTCATTGGATATTATACATATACACAATATTATGTCATATATCATGCCAATGTGATATCTATCTATCTATATATATATATTTATGCTTAAAGGATTTATACGACGGACAAGTGTAACAATATTAAAGTTATTAGAAAAGTCTATTAACTTTATTTCATGCATATCACGTTGTCGGTTTATTTACTTTCAATAAATGTATTTTGTATTTCACGTTTACGAAAACTTAAGCTGATGAAGTAAAATATGTTACCTATTTGTGGCCGTGTACCAAGCAGCCGATATTAATAAGTTGATACATATATCTACTGGGACCAAGTCAGCAATCAAGTCCTTATGACACAGCAGTGTCCTCAGAACCCCTTTACCGGCGCCAGCTAGCAGACCCGTTGGTCCATTTAAATTGTCTACCCATCCTAATATAGGTTCTCTCCACGATGCCGTAACTGTGTTTGTACAAAACAAAAAAAAATGCAATAAATAAAAAAAAAATATAAATAAATAATTAAGTGCAATGCGTGATTTAAATAAGTAATATTATATTTGATTAGTACAAACTCTTATCATGTACTTTGTAATCTATTACAATTAGGTGTATAATGTCAACTGAAACTTACCTATTGAAGGTCTAACGATTACTATGGGTAATCCGTCGCCTAGTTGTAACAACATCTTTTCCGCTAATGCTTTTGTGAACGTGTATGTATTTGGCCATCCTTTGATAATCCTAAAAAACAAAACCAATGTTTCATTTTACTGGTACATCTAAAAATAACAATAATGCTCTATTTTTTATAAGATAGTTTTAATATTTTATCAAAATAATAATTATTTCTATTAAAATTGTTATTGAGGTAATTAAAGTTATTTTTCAATATTGGTATAGTTTAGAACTTTGAAAAATTAACATCAATCAAATGCAAACAGATTTATATAGGTATTCCAAACTTCAATAGTTATCTTTATAATAAATCTATCTAAATATCAAAAATTTGGTAAAGAAAATATTATATATATTTTTTAAATTAAATTATTACTAAAATAAATAACAATTTATAATAATAATTAATTAGTTATAAATATTAAATTAACATATACATATATTCTAAATACAATAATTAAAGCACACCCCGATGGTTATATTTCTTTAAATAATGAAGAGTAATTTACCAATTATAATTATTCTCACAACAGTAACTTGATTAGATGTTGAAATATTACGAAATTATTTAGAAAAAACAGAAAAGCGGGACAGTACATTCAAGAGTAAGGTTTTTAGATAATAACTAAATTTTCACTATAAAAAAAAAGAACTGCAAATGTAGAAAATTTATTTTAATATTATTTATTTATTTTTTGATAAAGAACTCATGCAAAATAAGATGGTATCTTCTTAAAAAATATAACTAAGATTATTTACTCAATAAAAATTATTCAGTTAAAAGTTAAAAAAAAGTTTTTACAACTTACATCAGTGCCATGACGTGGGATGTGAGTGAGTGCTACTAGTAGTATCTACATATTAACTACTCTCCCTCACCACTTAACTAATTCACAAGTTATTTTAGTAATGAATTTTACAATTATATTTTATAAAAAAAATACACATAGTTAATAAAAATATTTAATTAATATTATATCGAATCATTTATTTTTGTTTTTTTTAATGAAATCGATAATTGCGTCATTTTAAAATTAATTTTGGTTTTGAATTGTAGCCAAAAATTGTTTTTTAATTGATAAAATAAACAATTATAGACGTATCTTTATTTTTGTAAACAGAAAAATTAGCATGCAGCACTTGCATTTATTGCTGAAATTATTATCGATTGATATTAGTTTTGTAATTTTTGGTAAGCTATATTAAGTCAGTAGATTTGAGATATATTCAAAGTTCATGAATGTTTGTTTTATGAAATTAATTTGATGAATACGTAATAGGAGGTACAATTGCAAAATCAAAATGTTCACCATATTTATCTTTAAGCGAGTTAATTGCATTTATAGGGAATTGAATAATACTATTTAAATTTTGAAAAATCTAATAAAGAACAGCAATTCAATTGAATTACCTCTGCAAATCTTTTATTACTTTTTGGGATTGATACGTCGACGATTCAAAGCAGTCTTCGATAATTTGTTTATATATATACAAATACTTCAGTCACCCTTTGTCATTTTAATCTTATTTATCCATTATCCATATAATATTGTTCTATTTCAATCAAAAGCGTTCAAAATCATTTTTTATATTTTAAATAATTTAAAACAGGCGGTACCCGTTTCGCCAAAATTTTAATATTATATAATTCCCGTTTCACCAAGACTAGTTTCAAATCAACTTAAAATTAAATGAACAATGGTTCAGTTAAATATTGTAGTAGGTAAATTATTTTCATAATATTTTAACATAATTCGGTAGGGTTGATACTTTCTACAGACAACTAGATAATTTTTTGATTCCAAAAAGGTAATTAAGATATGATTAGGATATTGTTAGTGTAAATTGTATAATAATGTATGGTAGATAATGCATAAAAAAGTTGTTAAATATCCCTGTACTAACCGTATACTAAGTGTTCATCAACTCACTGCACAAATACTAATTAACGTAGCTTATTTAAGTCAAAAACAACAGGTACCTAACTATAAAATAAATAACATACATACTTATAATCTAAAAAGTAAAGACTGACAAAGATTATCTTTGATCGTGGTCATTGCTAACACAACGGTTATCATACTTATAATATTTTACTGAAATTTCTGTGTTTTTAAAAAGTAAAAGAGACAAGCATATATTAATATTAAATAATTATAGATACAATTTTGATTCAAATGACGTTCATACATGTGAGATTTGTTGGTGTTGTGTAAAACGTTCGTGTTCTGGTTGTTTATATACTAAAGTGATAAATGAAGAAAACGTTTTAAATTCTGATCAACATCGTCATAATCATATACTATGCAATTATTCAAATATAAACCGTTAAATTGTAAATGAAACTTGTAAACGAAAAGCTTTGAAAGAACTTTTTAAACAACCAAACAAAAATGTTTTAAAATAATTAGCACAAAACTCTTAACTTGCTAATGGTTTAACATCAGACGATTTTAATATAATTAGAAAAGTAATATGTTATAGAAGTAGGCATAAAGTTCTCCCAGTTTTGCTAAGTAACATGATTGAAGTATATCTGGCTTTAAATACATCTGAAACTGTAATTTCAAACAATGAACTGTTTGTTTTAAAAAATAATTAAGAAAAAAATGTTATTATTTTTTCTTGTAAAACTAATTTAATATTTTTAAATATATTATATATTATATTTAATAATACATTTTTATGTAAATGTTTATCATTCATGGTTTTCGAAATATTCATTATGTAATATGTATCATTCATTTTTTGTCTATTTCCCAATAAACAGTATGAAACATATTTATATACACTTAATTAATGTAGTTATTAATAAATGTAAATAAATTAACTTGAATTTTTCACCTAAATATATAACTATTGATTTTAAACTGGCCATACACTTAGCTGTTAACGCAATATGGCCTCTATTAAAGAAAGATGGATGTCGTTTTCACTTAACACAGGCGTGGTTTCAAAATATTCAGAAGTATGGTTTAGCTACAACATATAAAAACAATTCTGACTTTGGCAAATGGATTATGTGTACACTTTTGTTTTATTATATTTAGAACCCGAAGAAGTGTTGGATTGTTTTTTTAACGATTTGATGTCGGAATGCCTAAATTACAATAAAGAGACAAAATATTGTGATTATTTAATAAAAAATTATATTTCTAAGGATAGCAAATTTACTTCTAGTCTATGGATATGTAATTTAGCGAGTGCTCTGCTTACGACGAATACGTGCTAGTCGTTTCATTTCATTCGTTCTTTAATGTCCATTTTTATTCTAATTTTCCATCTATATTTAGTTGAATAAATATTATGTAAAATTACGTCCAAACAGAGATTTATATAAAAATGAATAGCATTGAAATATCAAGAACATCAAAAAATGCAAATATGCTTAAAAGACAAAAACAGAATCAGAAACAAATATCGCGATACCAATCAAATGTAATTACTCACTATGAATTTATTAAAAATATGTGTAATAATTTTTAAAAAAAATGTGTAGTATCAATAAATATATTTTGAACAAAATTAAAACATTTAATAATTTTATTGTAAGTGTAGATTTTTTATAAATATTGTGGACTAAATTTGATTTTTTATAATACGTTTTATACATATTGTGGACTAAATTTGTTAAATTGAATGTATCATATTTGTGAATGAAAAAAAAAACTTTTTGGAAAACTAAGAATATTGCCTACTTGTGGTGTTCTCTAGATAACACTAGATGATACTCAAGTATTACAATATTATACAATTTGTATACTACATAATAATATATTGACTATTCCAAAAAATGAACATGAATAATTATCAACAATCATCGTCAACTTAATTTTAAATTGATCAAAGCTAGTCTGGGCGAAACAAGAATTAAATAATATTAAAATTTGGGTGAATCAGGCTACGCCCTTTAAAGCATTTTACAATCACATTTTTTAAATACAATTAAAAAATAAATACTAGGAATTTTTAAATTAGATCTCTTTAAAATATAAACTACATCTATTTTTTTATATCTTAAATTACCCTTATTTTTTAAAATCGAAGCATTTTATCAACAATTTATCTTGTACTCGGTAAAAAAAAAGCATCATGATAAAATCTATATCATTCATTGCTCAAATTAGAATCTAAAAACTTATACTTCGATATTTTGATAAATATTTTCAATTTTTAGTGTTTAAAATACTTTTTTCCCTGTTTAACCAACAGCTCTGTGTGAACAATACAATTCTTTAAAATACTTAAACAACAAATATATTTTTAAGTTAGTATTGATGATTGTTTTTATTATTTTATTACCATAAGAATAAATAAATAATTTTGGTATATATTGCCTCATTTTAATTGTAAAAAAATGTATAATTTGTTTGTACCTTGTTAATTCATAACTAGCTCAATACAGAGGTACTTTAATAAAACAAATTTATTTATAAATTCAATCTTAAAATTTTCTTTAATATTTAATCAAGTATACATTATCTACATTCAGCCACTTATTGAAGATTTTAACTTTTTAAGTTATTAAAATTAAAATTAATATTTAAATTATTTCTTATTGAATACATTTGATTTGCACCAGATTTAGTATACGTAAAATGTCTTGTCACTCAAACGATTTCTTCTAGGTATTAAAACTTGAATAGCCCTACTAAATTTTTTCATCGAAACTAATGATGGAAGAGTAGCGTTGTATCTAAAAAAAAAAAAAAAAATGCATGTGGCCTAGAAGCTAAATGGCCCGTTGGTCTGAAGTATAGATAGATAGAAATAAAACATAAAAATAGTGTAGAATAATGTGAGAAGTATATTTATCTATACCCGAAAATGAAATCATAATAACAATTCAATTAATAATCCTTTTTATATTATTTTTGTTATTTTGAATTTTGATAAGCGATGGCTATTCAATATGAATTTTCCGTAGCTTGTATATGGTGTATACAATATACTAACATTAGTAGAGTACACACTATATATTTTTATAAATTTCGTTGAAGCTCTACAACACAACAATATATTATCGCCTCGCGACTATTGAGTCAAATATACATTTTCCTATTATT